CCTCAAAATTTGCCAGATCCGGACCTTCCAGACCGGACGTCTGGATTCCGGACTGAATCCAGACCGTCTGGACGGCGGTTCGGACGTCCGGATCGTAGCCATGCTTGAAAGTGAATTGCGGTGACTACCAGAGTGGCGCGGGACCACTTGCCCGACCGGGCCAAAAAAAAGTAAAAATAAAATATACGTTTTTTTTTTTTTTTTTTTTTTTTCATTTGGTGAAGAATTTTGATGTGACCCTGAGGGAAAAGTTTAACAAAAAATAAAATAAAATGGTATGCGCGTTAGCGCTGCGGCAACGATGCGCTGACGCGCCGCCCTGGCAGCAGCATTCGGGCGTTGGGGGATCGCGTGCGGGGTTGGCGAAACTTGTCTGCTCCGATTGCCAGAACTTGGCGTAGGCGTGACCATGGCGGCACAGGGAGGAACACTGGGGTGTAGGGGGGGCGTGCCGAGGGGGCTGTGACATGCTCCTGGTCACTTCTTGTCTCACTTGACTTTGTCATGAATCCTGATTCGGTGGAGGAGGGAGACAGTGATATGTGGGGGCCATCGGCGGGTGGGATCCGGATGCTGCACTATACCTGACGCGACTGATCGGGGGCTAAGGCCCCTCGATCTTCGATACGGAGGTCTTTGCGGGGGTCTCCTGCCCTGGCATCTTGTCAGGGTTAGCCCGTGAGTGTGATGACGACAGGAGTGATGGAGATGCTGCGGTGCTTTCCACGTTCAACGCATGAGTTCGGCTTCTCCATGAACGCATGAGTTCGGCTTCTCTTACCTGTTGTAGCCCGCGTTAGGACTTAGAGTGAGCGTATGTGTGTGTGAGTGGGCGGTTTTTGTTAGATTATGGCTGAGGCTATTTGTGTGTTCCTTGGTGTCTTTTTGTTTTTTTGTTGTTGGAGTGATTGTTTTTCTTGTTCTTCGTTGCCGTGGTGATTTGTTGTAACATTAGATGTTGTGACTTGCTGCAATCTTGGTATAGCGTCTTTAGCATGTGATGAGACGAGCAGAGAGTGGCGCTCTGTAGAATCGCCATCATGGTGGGCGGTGGTGTTTCCTTGTGAGACGGTACAGATTAGTGGAAGTGGTTTCCCCTAAATTGCGAGGAGGTGGGTGGGTTTGCGGGGTCTTCGACCCCTGCCGCGCGGGAGGTAGGGTGTTACTGCCGAGATGTTGAAATTGGGTTGGGCTTCATCTCATCTGTCAAGGCTGGTGCCCTGTTGTCATCTATATTTTTTGAGGTTGTCTGTTGAGCGTCACCCCGCCGGAGCTTCGTCATGGAGGGCTGTGAGGCATCTGTAGGGTGTGTATGCAGAATTGAGGGAGGGCTTACCCCAAATCGCGAGGAGGGGGGTGGGTTTCGCGGGGCTCCTTGGCCCCTGCTGCGCGGGAGGTGGGGTAATCCTCTGGATTGCAAAAACAGCATCGTGGTGGGAGTTGTGTGTTTTTGTACGGAGTGTGTGGGGAGGTGCTATCCGCCGTGAATCGCGAGGAGGTGGGTGGGTTTTGCGGGGTCTTTGTCTGCAGAATGGGGGCCTGTGGGCATAAGACCCCTGCCGCGCGGGTGGCAGAGCGGATTGGCAGGGGTTGGTAGTAACCTTGGATGAAAAGTAGCGCTGTCCTCTGGTTCTTTTCAGTTTTAAAGATTTTGTGTATTTTTCTTTTATGACTGGTGGAATTAGAATTGGGGTCTCTAATTAGGGCTACAAATTAGGGTTGATAAATTTGGTGGAATGTCTTAGTGAGAATCGCTGTGGATAGCTGTTGATTGATTGTGTGGTGGAACATAGTGGC